CTGGCCTGAGTTTGTTTCCTTCTATCCTTCACACGCAGGCAGCACCTCCGGCTTTCCTGTCCACTGCCCAGGTCTCCAGAGAAGCCAGAGATGCTGCCGAGGGCCCTGATCACTCTCCTGCTAGATTGCTCCCGTTCTTTCCCCTTAATTCCACGTAACTTCACATGGCAGAGGGATGTGAGCTCAGGACAGGACCCTTCTTCATGGCTCATGCCTTACTTCACAAGCGTGTGAGAGCTCCACCCCCAGACGCCTGGCCAGGTGCTGAGGACAGAGAGATAGTGAGCCTCTGGTGCTGCACAAATGCTCGGGCATGGCGATGGAGGGGGTGCCGGCCGGCAGTGACGTGTCACAGGGCTGACATGACGAGGCTGAGGGTGACGGGACGAGGTGACTTACATAACCCTGGAGGGCTAGCCACCACCATTGTATTGGTCCCACCGGGGAGAGTGGCGTGGGGAACCAACTGGAGATGGAGCAGCAGCAGCAGTAACTTCCTCCCGTGTATGCACATGCACCCCTCTGCTTCAGAATGACTGATAACTTATGCAGTGCGTTACTTTTTAAAACACTGGTAAAACAAAATTCTAGCAAAATATTAAAGTTGGCACCTAATGATTGGGTCACCATAGGCTGTACTGAATGGCGACCTCAAAATCTCAACGGCTTGTTTTCTGCTGGAGCTTCATGTCCAGCGAGAGGCCTGGGGCCCTGCTCCTCATCTCTCAACAAAGGGCCAGTGCCCTGGGAACACTGCTCCTCTCCCTGGTGGAGGCCTTTGGTGGTTAAAGCAATTGCAGCCGATACAGTGCTCACCTGTGCCTCTGAGGTAAATGTCAGCAGAGGGAGCCATGCTCCCAGGAAGCGTCCTTGCTCACCTTTGGAAGGTGAAGTCAGTGTTAGGCGCACAGCCCCCACAGCAGTGGCTGAGGAACCTCGGCAACACTGATATCCCCACGCTTGACTTCCGCCAACGTGATGGGCGAAACAGCACTAGAGCCAGCCGGGTGGATGGTCATCTCATCGCCCCGGGGCTGAGCATCTTCTCATGCGGGGCCCCTCAGGCTTCTCTTCTCATGGAGATCATGACTTTTCCTGTTTGTTTTTTTATATTAGGCCATGTTTGGAAGGATGGACAGACGGGGTGGGGGGGCGCGGGGGGTGAGTGGAGGGAAGGGTATCTACATGTGTGGGAAGGATGACAGTAGAAGCCCCCTCTTTCTCTGTCTCTGGAAGAGTGTGTGTAGGATCAGAATAGTCTGTTCTGTTCCTTGACTGGGATGGCTTGCCTGGGCCCTGGGTTTCCTTTGGGTGAAGATTTTAGATGATTTGAAAAATCATTTAGTGGCTTTGGTCATCCATTCAGGTTTTCTGTTGCTTCTTGAGTTAATTTTGCAAAGTTACATTTTACCAATAATTTACCCTTTCAGCCAGGTTTCCGACAGTATCTCTTACTGTCCTTTCATGTCTGCTGTATCTGGGGCCTGGTACCCTTCACTCTGTTTGTGCCTCTCTAGTTTCTCCATTACTCCTGCTGCACTTGTCAATTTAATGGGTAATTTCAAAGAATCAACCTTCAGCTACAGTATCTTTTTTTTCTTTAAAGTGTATTTCTTTATGTCCATTAAGCCAAGCTTGCTCCTTGTGTTGCCCACATTTTAGTTTGCTCCATCTAAGAAGTCCAAGTCTCCCGCTGTGATGGAACATTTACCCATATTTCCTTTTAGGTCTGCCAAGTTTACCTCATACACTTTAAAACAATTTTGCTGAATATGTCCACATTTTAAATCTTTATATCCTTTTGATGAATTGAGTTTTTTATCATCACACAGTGACCTTTGTGCCCAGTTAAATCCGTCATGCCCAGTGCTGCAGGCGTCGCGCCAGCCTCCTCTCGCGGGTTTTGCGGAGCACCGGGTCTCCTGGCCATGGAGCCTCCCCTGTCCCATGTCTTTTGTACCCAGCAGGAGGCATAGGTCCTGTTACCTATATACCTTTATGACCATTGGTTCGAGTACATGTTTGGTTTGTTCAGATTCATTCCCGCCATCTGATTCTGTGCTATTTGCCCTTTTCCTTGGCTCTCTTTTCTCTTTTTGTGTTTCAACACAGCGGAGGGTTCCCCAACTCCATTTGTCCTCTCTCCTGAGTGGGAAGTTACAGCCAACCAAATTCTCTCAGTCATGATCCTTAAAAATGTTAGCGTGTGCCCTTGACTCGGTCAGTAACCTCACCCTTCCCTGTGCAGTCAGGGTGTGGGCTGCTTTGGCTACAGGGGACATCAGAGATTAAGTGCAGGGCACCCAGATGAACATGCTCATAACACATGGCTGGCTCATCAGACACCTACGTGTGCCTGGTGTTCGGTATGTCTGTCTGTCAGTGGGCAGCCCAGCCGCTCCAGTTCTGTGCAGTCATGATGAGTATTCCTTTCCCGCTCCCTCTTTTCTTTATTCTCACTGAGTAGATGTCACTGTGCCATGCAGCCTGTTCACTTGGCCATCCTGCACCTGTGCTGTTCTCTTTGCTCCTCATGCCTCCTCATTTCTCAGGCCACTGGGTCGTTTTCATTCTGCCTTCAGCACAGCCCAGAGTTTCCCATGGGAAACACTGTGTGCAAACCTTCCCAGCGTGTTTTAGTCTTTGTTTTGCCCTCACTGTCACTCAGCGAGTCACTCTCTTGGCGTGGAAGAGGTCACACCACTGTCTTCCTGCTCCTTTGCCATGAAGCAAGCGCCATCTGGCTGGTGCTGCTCCTCTGATGATTGTTTTCCCCAGCTGCTTGTAGAATTTTCTGCAGGTTCGATCCAATGTGCCAATGGTCCGCCCGGACACCCTCAGTGTGGGCACCTGTGCTGATTGATGCCTGCCACTCCCTCGGGGACTTGAGGAGGTCAGCACCTGTTCCCGTTTCCACGTCCCTGCCTCCAGGTTGCATCTGACCGTTTCTGCGGTTGCTTCCATGCTTGCTTCATAGCTTGAACTGGTCATTTCAATGGCTGCCGTCTCCGAGGAGCTGAGCTGTGATTTTGGGTACCTCTTGATTGACTCAGAAGTAGCAGCGTTAGCACACGTGTCTCAGACAGCTTCCTCTGTTGTCACCATCTTAGCTCAGTGTGGGACAGGGTCCCTGCCTGGGAGCCGGCCCTGGCACGCTGCCATTAGCTAAAGCGCGGGATGCACTGAGGCTCGCTCGGTTTTCCTGACCGTCCTCTGTTTCCGGCCCCGCAGTGGCCCTGCCGTCCTGTCGCCTGAATCTCCTCGGCTGTGACAGCTTCCCAGTCTTTCATTGTTCTCACGACCACCACAGTTTTGGGGGTGCTGGTCAGGTGTTTCATAGAGTGTCCCTCCATTTATGTTTGTCCGGTTTTTCCCTCATGATTGAGGGGTGGGAGGAGGAGCAAAACCCCAGGGGTCCAGTGCCCTTCTCCACACTTGCTGTCCACGTGGCTCCTCTGCTGAAGGTCACCATGAGGGTCTGGCGACAGTGGGCTTGTCAGTGTATGTCCCCACGTAAAGGTCCTTTGGCTGGAAGTCATGCGTGCAGCCCGCACGTGCTTTGGGGAGGTGGGAGGTGTCAGCTCTGTCATG